TTTGTGGGGGGGGGGGGGACTTTCACATTTTAGGTACATAAGATAGGATCAATAAGATAAGAGAGTGGAGATGTCCCGATCACATTTTTTTTTGTCCGAGTCTGATTCTTTGATTTGAAGTATCTGCCAAGACAGAAGCCGAGAAGTACTGCATGTGCTGTTTTCCCCTTGCTAAAAGTTCTTTTAACAAAGGGGCGTCAATGACAAACATTTTTTTTTGCTGTGGTATGTCCAATGACATTTTATCTGCTTTTCTTCCCTTCAGGAATGCTCATCATCCGTTCCTTCTGGTTTTCTCCTTTGCTCACGTCCACATGCCACATTTTCACACGCCGGCTTTTGCGGGCAAAAGCCGCCACGGTTGCTACGGTGACAATGTGGAAGAGATGGACTGGATTGTCGGTAAGCGCTGAATTAGAATGCTTACAAGGCTGCAAAATCTGGAATTTGAGTAAAACCTATGGAGGAAAATATGCATAACAATATGTTTTAAATATGTATTAAATTTCCCTCATTTCCTATTGGGGAAAACTGTTGTGAAATCAGAACAAATTGGAGAATCCCAGAACACACATAGCGGTTTCCCTGTACATCATAAGTAATGATAAATCGTGACTAATGTTGTGTTTTTGCAGGCGAGCTAACTAACACTGTGGATTCGTTGGGCCTGGCCAACGACACGCTGATATATTTCACGTCAGACCACGGAGGACATATTGAGAATTCTCATCCTTTGATTGGCCAGGGAGGAGGATGGAACGGCATTTATCGAGGTATTAAGCAACTCACCCTCCTACATCTACTGTAAATGTAACGAAAGACGCCTATTTTATTTCACTTTGTATTTTTTAATCGAACAAGCTCTGTGCTCATATTAAGGCAATGTTTGAAGTAACATTGTCACATTTTTAATGCTCTTACAATTGCGTAAACAATCCCGCTTACCTATAGGACGAACGGGAAAGTCTTGGCTGGCTCTCCGTTCAAAGGGAGAGCCGGCCTGACGCTTGGCAAAATGGAGTTTCAACTCCCTCCACAGGTTTTCATTTGGGTTGAGGTCTGGAAACTGGCGAGGCCACTCCAGAACCTTGATATGCTCTTTACGGAGCCACTCTTTGGTTTTCCTGGCTGCGTGCTTTGGATCATTATCATGCTGGAAGACCCAGCCACATTTCATCTTCAATTCTCTGACCGAGGGAGGGAGGTTTTTGCCCAAAATGTCACAATACATGGCCCCATTCATCTTGCCCTTGATACGGACCGGTCTTCCTGTCCCTTTTGCAGAACAGCATCCCCAAAGGAGGTGCAAGGTTTCTACCCGACACCAGCGAAAATCATTTTAAAGTTACCAATCCATCCTGCACAAATCAAGCAAATGATTTCAAAATCAACTGAAGCTCTTTGAATTTTTGTCCCGTCCAGGTGGTAAAGCCATGGGGGGCTGGGAAGGCGGCATCAGGGTCCCTGGTGTCTTCCGCTGGGTGGGCAGACTGGCTGCTGGCAGAGTGGTGGATGAGCCCACCAGCCTCATGGATCTCTATCCCACAGTGAAATATTTGGCTCGAGACACACAACCAGACAGGTCTGATGAGATTTTTACCCCAATTTTATGTGGTGCACTTAAAAAAAAAAAAATAATAATAATAATGTGACTTTCAATTAAAGACACTTAGATGGTCACAACCTCATGCCGTTGTTGGAGGGGAAGAGGGATCGATCAGGGCACGAGTTTCTATTCCATTACTGTGGCAACCACCTCCATGCAGCACGTTGGCACCCACAAGACAGTAAGTTAACACACCGAGAAACAGCATCCATATCTAAGGGTGGTGTATCAATGTCATGAGATGTAACAATGGAATACAGTGAAACCCAGAATTTACAAATTTGCAAATTCAATTTTTTTGTCTTTGTTTTTTTTTTTTTTTGGGTGGGGGGAGCAGGTGCTCAATATTTACTACACGACTCAAAGCTGTTTTTTCTTCCAGTCAAAATAAAGGGAGTATTATTTCAGTGCCAACTGGGGGAAATCACAGTGATGTTTTTTCATTAGCGTATGAGATGTCCTGATTTGTTGGCGGTCCCTGAATGCACCATGTGCACAGTCAAACATGTGAAAATATGTTTCCGTTTCTCTCCCAATGCAGCTACGACTAGCTCGACTGCTAATGTAATCCACATTGCTTTTACAATATGCCTTTATAGGCGAACACATATTGTTGTGTCTAAATGCGAAAGGTGATTTTTAACTACATATTACTGTTTGTGGAAAGTGCAAACGGGCATATTTGTTTTCCCGTCTGTGACATCATGTCAGTTTGTGCGAGTGTGTTATTTAGGCCAGTATGCTAGCTAATATAGTTCCATAAATGTGCCTGGTGTGAACGTGAACGAGTTTTCATGTTCTCCCCGGGCCTGCGTGGGTTTTCTCCGGGTACTCCGGTTTCCTCCCACATTCCAAAAACATTCATAACAGGCTGAGTGAACACTCAAAATTGTCCCTAGGTGTGAGTGTGAGCGTGGATAGTTGTTCGTCTCTGTGTGCCCTGCGATTGGCTGGCAACCGGTTCAGGGTGTCCCCCGCCTACTGCCCGAAGACGGCTGGGATAGGCTCCAACACCCCCCTTGTGAGGATAAGTGGATCGGAAAATGAATGAATGAAGATGGCTCTATTGATATTTCTGGTCCAACTCTAGACCACATCAATATCGAATGTGATTTTAGATATCATGGGGGATAATAATGCTGTATGTGGTGATATTGATCTTTCGTCCCATCCCAAGTAGCGTCTGTTGGTGTCTGTGTCTCCCTGTCAGTAGCACTGGATTGTTTCACGTTACACTGCTAACTGTACGGCCTTATCAATATTTTGCGCCAGTTGACAGTGTTGACATCTAATGATGGTGAGTTACAAAATCAAAATGCAATGACACTTCTTTGTCATTTTACCCAGGTGACTCCATCTTCAAGGTGCACTTCATCACCCCAAACTTTTCCCCACTGGGAGCTGTGGGATGTTATGACACGCATATCTGCTACTGTCATGGAAAACACGTGACGCAGCACAACCCGCCGTTGCTCTATGACCTTCTCCGAGACCCCTCAGAGTCACACCCACTAGGCCCCGACACGGAGCCGCGTTACGCAGAAATCCTCAGTCAGACAGCCGAAGCGGTGCAGAGGCATCTGCGTTCCTTGGCTGACAAACAACCAAACCAGCTTACCTGGGAGAAGATTCTGTGGAGACCCTGGCTTCAGCCATGTTGTGGAACATTCCCCTTTTGTGGCTGCAAAGAAGACATAAGGTCGTAGAAAAAAACCAAAACAGTTTGACTTTTCAATTAGAACAGGGAGACGGTTGTAATTTACACTGTATGCCTTTAGAGGGCAGAGTGAGACTGTATTTGACCAGTTTTACAGGCAACCAGGGAGGGGGGCTCAGTTTCAGTGCATGCCATCATTGGGATAGTTGCGATAATTTTATTCAGATATATTTGTGTGTGTGTGTGTGTGTGTGTGTGTGTGTGTCTTTGGCTTTCGGTGTGTGGTTTATATGTAAGTCATATATGTGTGCAACTGTTTGAAAAGTAATCAAGTGACAAGTGGCGGAAAAAAACTGTAAGGGTGACTTTATAGATTTTGAGTTAATGTCTCGCATGATGTTCATGGCAGAAGGTCCTACGAGGGTCATGAAGATCCAAGTTAAGTTTGAAGGCAATCAACCCTAGCATGATGAAGGCAGCTCCGTGCAAAGGTCACATACATTTAACCATGTCCGTTTTCCTCGTGAGCCACTGATGGTGTTGTGGTACACTCGCATGACTTGTGTACGGGCAGCGTGGGATCGGCTCCCGCTCAGTTACAGTGGTGATTGGTGGTTTGGATGGTCGTTTGTCTCTGTGTGTACCCTGCCACTGACTGGCAACCAGTTCAGGGGGCAGTGTGCGTTCCGCCCAAAGTCAGCTGGGACAGGCTCCAGCAACTCCCTGCGACCCTGTTGAGGATAAGCGGTGTTGAAAATGGATGGATGGATGTTTTCCTCGTCAGGGTTCTCCCAGGCACAATTTGGAACATGCATTACTGGGATTATTATGTCCAAGGCAAGAACGCCTATTATGATTCAAGGGTGTTCAGCACAAGGTTGCCTTAGTAACCGAAATACATGTTTATCGTCATGTTCATCCATCAGTTGCCCTTTTAAACCTTTTTTCTTTTACCGCTATGCAGTAGTTGCGGAAGCAACGTATTACGTTCTACTTGTGTGCTTCATGTGAAACAACTCTAAATTTTACATAAACAATGCGTCGCGTTAATGAATGGCAACACAGAAGTAAGCAACAGAAATACAAAACGTCGTGTGTAATTGGCTCGGGCAGACTCTTCTCACTATTTATTTAAATGAACATAACCTCCACTCTGTGTCTGCCAGTCTCTCGTTTGTCATTCAAGCACCTTAGTGGGTGTGTCCAACAATATAGCGCCTTGAACTCTGCCTAGCAACAAGTGGATGAGAATGAAAACATCTACTGGGCTTGGCGGGTGTGTGCACTTTTTGAAATTCTGCCCAGCAACAAGTGATCTGTCCAACAAATTAGAGCCATTCTTTTAAGACTGTCACCATAAATATTTTTAGAATGAATTATTCTATCGATTATTCCATTGATTAATTGAATAATCAGCGACAAAATTCTTTTTTCATTTGAGTTTATGGCAAAATATGTATGTATTTGTATCAAGTGAAACGTGACCAGGAAAGGAATCTAAGAAATGTACTGTATATTTATGATTGATATTGTGATTTCTGTTTTGTTGTTCCATTATGAATTATGATTTGTGATTTGTAAGTTTTTCTGGTGTGTGTGTGAGAGTAAGAGAGAGAGAGAAAGAGAGAGAGAGATTTCAGACTCTTTCAGGAAGTCAAAAGCTAGGATGGATAGAGTCCCAGTGGACCTGTAAGGATACCCTGTGGCTCTCCATACTGTATCTTCACCAATAAAAGACTGTAAAGACTGTGTGAACCTCTCCAGCCTCAGTGTCATCATTCATCATCATCAGCACTTGGCCCGTCTCCCTGCAGCAGTGGCTGACTGTCAAAACATCAGAGTTGGCTCCAGCAGAAGCCAATAATTGCTCTCCTTCCCATCCCCTATCTCCTCATCTCTTTCTCCTAGGTCTCCTCAAACTGCTCTCTTCATCTTCTCCTCTTCCTCCTCCTCCGTCGTGCCTGCGGATATTCAGCTTGCATCTGCAAGTGAGTCGGGAAACGTCACGTACATCATTACAGTAATCGTTGCAGTTCCTAGCGGAGTATTCACTCCTCGGCCCCCCACAGCAGAGAAACGTGCCTCCAATCCACTTGAAGTTCATTACAGTCGCTCCTCTGTTCTACTGTATCTGCGATAAGTAAATCAAGCAGCCGAGCGTCCCTAATGACGTTGGCCTGTACATCAAAGTTAATGATGGCTGGTGGGGTACAATGTTGCTGGCCGTTCATCATGTCACATGTAAACGAAACATGACCGGCATGGACGCTCACGTGTCGCTTTGCACGCGCCGTATATCATGTTAGGAGCGGGTGAGGCCGGTTTCTGCAAAGGTCAGTGTTGCGGGGGAAGCCATAAAGCATTTCTGCAACACCCGCTTTGACACACACAAACACAGATCTGGAGAGAAAAGCGGAATATCAAAGGGCGGCTTGAAATAGCTGCTCTGCATCAGGGATGTGGCCTGAGGGAAACAGCCCACATCACCCACACTTATTGTGCACCTATCGAGTATTACCTTGTGTGCTTATTTGAAATGCAGTACAATTAAAAAAAAGTGACATGAATGCTTAATCAGCCATATCTGGTTTACTCTATGATTAATGAGAAGCTTGCCAGAATGAGACAGTATTGCATTCAGTTGAGTTATACTTATGAAGCTTTAAATAATGGATTTTTTTTTTTTTAATCTTAAGGCTTCTTTGGATATGCAGTGGTTATAAAAATAAATAGATAAATAAAGAAGTCTACGTACCCTGTTCAAATGCCAGGTTTTTGTCATCACAAAAAAAAAGATAAATCTTTTGTAAAATATGTCCACCATAAATGTGACCTAGACCGACAACCTGTACCACTCAACAGAATTACGGTAAAGACAAGTCTTCGAGAGCGGGGAAATAATTCAAAACTCGGATGAAGTGGTTGCACAAGTATGCACACCATCCCATAACTGCGGATGCGTCTGTGCCCAGAATTAAATCACAATTCAAACTGGTGCTAAACGGAAGTGAGCACACATTTACCACCATTTAAAGTGCCTCTGATTCACCCCAAATAAATGTTGACTGCACTGTATGAAAAAAAAAGAATTGGGTAAACTGAAAATTTCAAGGAAATACACTTGGATCCAATTTTAAATTGGGCAATTAAAAAATATATACTTGAAGTTTTACCGATTTAACTGTCCCTTGTATTGTCCCCGAACTTAAAGATATCTTACAGCACAAGTCCACAGAGAGCTTCCATACCATCAGATAGATCTTATTATTCAATGCTATCAGTCAAACGAATTAACTGTACCATGGAACAAAGTGAAGACAAGGTTGTGATAACATTGAACTGTAGTAACATTAGCCAGAAATGGATGGAAGTCCAAAATTGATGAAAGATGAGACGACAAGTGGTCAGGGAGGCTGCCAAGAGACCGACAGCAACAGAAATTTCTGGCAAATAATGGCTGTTTAGTACATGTGACAACAACCACTCATTTTCATATCATCATCGTCTCGGCTATGGGGTAGAGTAGCAAGCCTTAAACTACAAAGAAATAAAAATACAGTTGACATTTTCCAAATGCATGTGGGGGGGAAAAAATCATGTTCCGATGAAACCAAGGTCAAACATTTTGGCCGCCATTCCAAAAAGATATGGTTGGCACAAACGACACTGTTCATGATCAAACAAACAATATTTACAGTGAAACATGGTAGTGGCAGCATCATGCTTTTGGGCTGTTTTGCTGGAGAAACTGGGGCCTTAGTTAAGGTGGAGACCTTTCAGAAGTGTTTCATTGAACACCTGTGGGCTGATCTGAAGACTGCGGTACACAGGAGACACCTTCGCAATCTGACATATCGGTGCTGCAGCCAATACTTAGTTTGAGGTTGTGCATATTTATGCAACTAATAGCTTATATTTTGTACCAAACCCGACCAAATGAGTTGTACAGATCGTATCACAAAAAAAAAATAAAATAAAATAAAAAAATGGCATGACTGGTGTGCAGACTATTGGATTTTATTTAATAGTATTTCTTTAACTGTTTAATATATTCGTATTTTATTTTATTTCAATATTCTTTTCCCTTCACTTTAATTTTGTTTCTGCGACACCGTCTGCACTCTGCAGAGTATTAACCTGGATTCACCTGCAGGGTTTCCGGTTTGGGGGAAACACGTTCAGAAGGGAAATGTCAATCTGCAGGGTGCCACTCACACGTTTAAAAGACACGACACACGATACGGTATGTAATTGTCGTCTGAATTTTGTCTTAAAAAAATCTTAGCGTGCGCAGACGAAGGAGCTACAGTTTACGAGCTCGTGGTGGCGTTGTAAGCATTACAACCGAGCAGGGCTTGCAAAAGAAACTTAGAGACGTCATCGTTTGTTATAGTTCAGACTTTGCCTCAGTTGTCTTTAACTAACTACTCTAAAAGGTGCCCCATGAAAATATTTTGTGGCTTTAAAAGTTGCTACATGTATTATTTTATTATATTTGGCAGTTTTTTTTCAAGACAGTCAATGCAAATGTCCAAAATGTACCTTTGGCCAGTCATTTGCTTGATGCTGCATTTGCAGTATTTGTGTTTGACTTCACGTGTAAAATGTCCACAAATGTCTTCCAGTATCACATTGTAATGCTTGACTTTATTTAATTTATTTATTTTTCGTAAACCACATACTGTGGTACCTTTTATAACATGAAACGAACTGCTCACATTTAATGGCAACTGCATTAATAATCGAAAACAAGTATTTAAATAATAAAATATCAACTATAAAATAGTCATATTGCTTTACATCAGCCTTGGCCATTTGTGTTTGCTTAGTCAGCGTGTGTGCTTGTAGGGCTAACCTACGATTGTGGACATGGACTGGTCTTGGATGCAATTAAGAACACTTTGGATGAATTGACACGGGTGGCCCATATGCCGAGTTCTGATTTAACGCCAGTATCTAATTTTAATTTTGTTATGTCTGTCTATTTCCATGTAGATTTCAACTGACAAAAATCTGTGATAACTGTATTAATTGTGGCAAAACACATGAAACAACTCCCATGAACCCAAATTACTTGAAAGTAACTCCGCAAGCAGTGACACGGAAGTAAACATTAACACATAAATAATACAAATATTATGTTGCATAACGTTTAGTTGGCCTGGCCTTCTCTCCTCCTCCCATTGACTTAACTGGGGTAACCTCCAGATTACTCCTCTGGCTGCCATCTGCAATTATTTTCCTTTTTTTGAAATGTTGCATTGACACAGATGTAATGAAACATATTTAGACCATTTCACTGGCCGTGCTTTCACTGCGGTTTAGTTTTATAGCATGTGTTTGTCAATGTGTTTTGTATTGTCTGGGCCGACAGACATGCAAGCAATTGGTGTATTTCCATTATGTCAAGCTTGGTCTTACGGGGCATATCTGATCCATATTTACGCTGCAGTGGCAGTATCCATATCTGATTTTTATCTGTGTTTGAAATTGGCCCAATTTCTCATCCAAACATTTCCATTTGCATGCAATCTCTTTACGCTACCATACCCCGTTGTTCCACTTGAGAGCTAACACAATCCAGAATGTGCCATTTGAACAATACAGCCTTAATGTGAAACAACGCATACGATGTATCATTTATTGTTGCACAATCTTTCAGCTTGCATGTACTGTGCAGTATTTCCTACAACCACAGATTCACATTTGCATCACACCAAAGCACACACGCTTATCAATGTTGCTATAAACATGTTTCTTTTGTCGGATACAGGAAATGTTTAGAGAGGTGGGGTTTGATGAGAAACGGATAGCTTAATAAGCAAGCTAATGGGAGAAGTACTTCTCAGCTCTCTCTCTCGCTCACACGCACACACACACACAGGCTTAGCTTATCTCCTGGACCTTTTTATCTGACAGAATTTGGCTGGGAGCGTGAGCTCATAAACCTCTTCTGGGTGTACTTCTTTTCCAAGTTAGTGAAAAGAGTCCACTGCCGCAGAAATGATGAATGACTCTCGCTTATTGAGAAGGGGTCAGAGCAGCCATTTTAATTTGGTCAAATTGCAAATTTTCATCAAGCAAACCGCCTCCTATATTGGACACCTGATCCGAGACACAAACACAACAAGCTGCCTCCGTCTGTATTACATCTCATGCCGCAGATGTTCAGGTCACTGTTCTTTTTTAAATTAACACAATAGGCTGTTTAATGCGTGATGTACGGCCCGCATCTGTTCCTTGCTAGTGATGGAAAACGATTTAGACAGCTCGTATTTTATTGTCCCGGACTTCCTTTTGTTCGGGCAAAACACTCCTTTTTGTCCTAAATAAAGTAGGTCAGATTGTACTGTCGCGCTTGGTTGGTGGGACACTACGGAATTGAAGTCTCATATTTACAACACTTTAAACTCAACTGCCGTAGATTTTTCTAAGGATGGATGTTTGACTACATTTTCTTGATCAAAAATACGGTCAGGACGGTTATTCTTAATTTTTTTTTTAAACCACTATCTTAACTCCTGTTTCTACGTCAGAGTCATACAGACTGATTTAAGAATGAAGCTAACCCCCTTATAACATTCCATACATTATCCAAGGTTGCCTGCTGTTGGTGTTTTAATATCAACTCACTGTAATTTTAATGACAGATGCAGACGAGATGGTGACGTAGCGCACATAATGCAATGTTTTCTCTGTGGGTTAAATGTACAAAAAAAAAATGCAATTGAAAAAATGACAGCGGCCAATCTAATTGATACGAAACGTTGAACCAGTAAGCCAGGGAGATCAAGTGGGTGGAGGAATCATCAGAGAGAGAGTCAACAGGCGGTTGCAATAATTGCACGACTAATCAAAAGTTGAGAGTAGCGCTCTCGGAACGAGAGTGGCGCGCAAAGCCTCATGAGAAGCAGAGGGAGGCCACAAAAAAAGTCCTCGACATGGAGACATTGAAGTGGTCCTGCGCCACTAAACAAGGATGAAGCGCGTGAGGAGGCATAGAAAAGGTCTCACTCCTTTTTAATTAAAGCAACCGCGATGAGGCACTTGAGGATTTGGAATGTTATTCATACAGCCATTTTAATTTTGCATTATGAAAACTGTAAAACGAAGCAAACCTGTTTATCACTCAGCGTAAACTCCAAGTCTGTTTTTGTTCCAGTTGGGGGTTGAATCATCGCCTTGTGTCTTAATTTGACGTAATGCGCTTTCCCAGAAAAATGATAGCTCAGTTACGACTACACCGAAAACCTTATCACACTTGTACGTGTATAAATCCTACGCCACTCTCTTCTTTTGGATTATAATCATATTATTTGACAGATTTCCCATGAAACATTCCTTGATAAAGAATTGGTGAAGTTATGGTGATCATCCGGATTAAGATGCCGGAATGCAAAAATACAATTAATATCCACTTTTCACTGTAATACAGCCGCTTGTCAACAACACCCAAAGTGCAGATCGTCATCATTTTTCATGTTTAACATGAATGCATTATCCAAGGAAATGTTAACTACTCAGCCCCCCCAAAAAAGGAAAAAAAAAACAGGTTGATGTCACTTTTGTGTCAACAGAAAGTAATCAGCTTCAAGATAGGCAGATGGAGAAAAGCATACTATTAAATGTGGGGGTGCTGTAGCTGTATTTTTATTAGTAAGCTCACAATTATGACTTAATTTAAATGATTAGGTACCTGACACATTTTGACCGATTCGGTTCCAAAACCAAGAATCGATACGGTACCAATTTTTGTGACTTTTTTTCTGTTTTTGTGGCAATAATTTATCTTTTATTTTATAAAAACAACCCCCCTAAAAAGTATATTTCAATTGATAATATTTGATTAATAAAGAAAAAAGCAATTTAAAACAAAAGAGCCAATGGAGTAAAAATAAATGGTATAACACTTTACAATGAATAAACTGTATGTATAATAAAAACAATACATTCAATTCAGTGGAGCCTAGCAGGTGGACCTGACTGTATAGGTGCCGTAAAGATATGGATTCCCCTTTACTGTTTTATTCCAAATTAGTTTGTTTTTGAATAGATTGCCACAAAGGTCAAAATGAGCTCCACGTTTCGAGTCGCCATTATTGAAATGTGCTATGACAGCGAACCGAGTGGCCACCGGCCAGTGTCCTGGTTGATGTAATTGCAGACCAAAGCGGCCGCGCCAACATAACGCATAATAATGGCTCGTTACAGAGTTCGGCTCCCACATCATTAATGGTGATGTCCGTTCCAAGCCAAAGACCAAATATAATATCAGCTCAGAGTGTCTGGGTGCATGAGAATGCAATTTGAAGACTGATTTGCTGAATGTCAACCGAAATATTTATGCCCCCCGATTGCAGGATGCGGTCTTAAGTGAAATGATAGATGTTTTGGGGCGGACATCTTATCTTGAGGGAGAAAGACGGATGGCATAAAACACTGAAGGGGCAGGAAGGAGGCAGCGTAGTCTGGACCACTGATGGAAGTGTTTGTCATCGCAGCAGACGAGATGGGATAGCGCCACGGAGGAGAGTTCGGGGAGGGCATAATAATGACAAAAAGCCAAGAGGGTAATCGAAGCGTGGGTCATGTTTACCCACAGGTGTGGGAGTGAGTCGGGGAGCGATGGCGAAGAGGCTGAAGGCAGAGCGGTGACAGAGGACTGAAGGGTCACTCTGTTTGCTTGAGGAAGGAAGCAGATTGAGAGCTATTGAGGTGTAGACACAGGAGAAATGATGAAGGGAGACAGCCCGAGATGGAGAGAAGGCCCCTGGCTTTGAAAAGACAGAAGGGTGATGAGGCAAAGGGGGAGCAGAAATAATCAGAGCCCAAGAGCAGGAAAGACTCAGGAGGAAGGCGGTCATGTGAGACGTAATCTAAAGAGAATACCACGGATGCAGAATACATAAGAAAGTCATTCAGTAGCCTTATTGAGAAGAGTTATTCTGTGGGGACAAGTGCCAGAAGACACTGGATGATTTATCTGTCCTCTGAGTGAAAGAGTGAGAGAGAGTGAGAAAGAAAGAAAGAAATATCTGAAAAACTTCTGTCTGACCGGACCTGTATTGCTGATGTCTGGACTTCAGCCACCGTGACTCATGTCGCCCTGACTCATGTCCCTCTTCTAACGATCCGCAACTTCAGCTGCGCATCCAAAATGACTCTCTTGATATTCAATGTTGGAAGTTCGGTTGTGGAAACATGAATTGTTTTGTTGGCACATTTCTGAAAAAAAAAAAAAAAAAAAAATGAAAATGTTAGCATTTTTAGGGGGTCAC